TCCTTTAAGCAACTCAAAAACATCAGAGTGAATGTAACAAAGCCTAAAATTTAATTCAAGAAGATCGTTTCTTCCGAATTTCTTTTTGATTTGACTTTTACCAGTTCTTATTGATTGTGTTCTGACATTTAATATAAATTAACATCCCTGATTATTTTATAAAGAATGATTATTCTTGTTGAGGTGCAACACTTTGTCGACAATCTTTACAATTATTGTTGCTTGTATTATACCGTCGTTGACTGGATTAAATAGATCGGTCTCTATTGGCATACGGGCTAATGTGCAGATGCCTCAATATTACCTGTTTTAATTATTGATGGATATTGGTTAACTGGGGAATCCAGGATGGGCATGTCGTCCTATTCGGGACTCGTCAGCTGGATGTACCAATAGCTTCAAACGCCAGAACGTTATCCACCAGACCACTGAGCAGCAATAGCCACTTCTCGTGCAACTGGTTCCGAGTTCGAATCCCGACGGGGTCACCACTAACTTGAAGGCAAGTATATCCAGCTGAAGAGTCCCCAATAGGATAAAATGCGCGACCCGGACTCTATTGCTAGCCACTGTCCATCATCACAATCTTTAGAGTCCTTTTCTACCAAAATAATTCATGAATAGATTCCACTTTCAGACCCTTGGTTATCTTTTCACCAAATTTTGACTTTGGATTGAGTGATGAATTAAACTTTTAGCAAATGCATTTAAGCATACAAAACAAAAGCAGTTTTCCAACAAGCACTAATTTCAAAGTTTATGTTGGTTTTTGATCTTTCACTTAAACAAGACTGTAGAACAACATTTATTTAGAGTGACTTTCTCAAGGATACGAAGCTGTCATGCACTGATGATAATATCCAGCATGGTGCGATAACGTTTGCCTACCAAAACAACTCTTTGAACTTCCACTCCCTGACCTTAAAATATTCACCACAATTTCTGAAATAATAATTAAAATAGACACTGATTGCCAACGTCAGAATTATGGTAGGAAGACAAAAGTCAAATAAACTGGTCACGTGTCTGACTTAGTGAAACGTAATGTCAGTTAACGGAAGAATATAATTTGAGACCTCGGATGGGTAGATGAGTACAAGACCCAACCATATCGTTGGAAAATGGATACAAATAGGAGAAGAAAAATCAATGAGCTGTCTACGGCGGAATATCTGTGTTTATACTGGTTTATGCTAGTGTACTGTGTCTATGATATCAGAAAAATCGCTAGCAAGTTGGGCTTCAAAGAAGCATGAAATGATATTAGCTTAAATATACCCAACAATATGAATAATAAATGAGAACACATATGCATATGCTCAAACTGTCAATAGCCAAATTTATACCAATTTGTGCGTTGGACAATCAGCATTTGTTTTGAGAACGTGAAATTTTAAATGGTTGAATGAATTTAATAGTGAAATCTGTCTACTGCAAATACTTCACGCAGACCTTGAACGGATGGAAAAAATAAGTATTAATTCTAAAATTTGTTAACATGGTTCGTCAGTCATCTTAAGATATTTCGCTATATAAATGGAAATTTTCGTCAAACTTTTATTCAATAAGGAGTTTCTCCTTAGTGAACTTCCTTTAAACCAGATGACTAATGTATAATGTTAACAGTAGCATCAGTTTAGGTTTCACAATAATTCAACCGATTTCCAAGTCTCCTATGCTAATTTAGAGCCTATAAATTCAGAATTATGCGGAAAATTGTCTCTGAAAATTAATGAAGCCAAAGTCAGCATGAATAATATTTTATTTTGAAGACGTGAGAAGTGGAGCGCCAATGGTTTCTGTTGACATGTTAAAGTCATTTATATTAAGAATTATGAAGCCGAAAACAAAGACGTTTCATGACGCTTTTAGCATATATGTTCTGGTTTACTAACAATAACTTTTTTTCACTGTGAACGATAAATACACGAAACACACAACAATTGCATAGGTATGATCTTTTTATTTGTCTCCGATAGTGGGAACTAAGATGGAAAAAGAATTCTAAATTCAATGAGGATAAGACGTTTATTGAAAATTTCATACCATTTTGAAAATATTTTTGAACTTCACATTGACAATTTCCATTTGCTGTTTAGTAGTGACGATTTAGTGCCAGTTGGTAGTTCGAATATTTGATATTCGACTCTGAAGGACGCTGCGCTTGATTAATGTTATACTAGACTATAATTTCAAGGTGCCAGAATGTTTCTTGTTTATTCCATTTGAGATAGACAGCTTGAATAATATAGCTTGACTACGAAGAGAACAGAAATTAGTGGAAATTCTGAGTCGTTTCTCAAGAGGCGGCCAGCGGAATGTGTGAAACTGCATGGATGGAAAAACGTAGAAACGTTAACTATTGTCCGATAATTTCCGCTACATATTTTTGATTGTACCTTCTGAAAGCGAATCAAATCCTCTTAATCTAAAGCTATAAGATGTAATATTCCTTTCAAACAGAAACTTTTCCTGTAATATTTAATCTCTGTGGGTAAACAATTGTGTAGTCATTAGGAAAGCTGTTGAAGTGGCAACAAGTACATTATACTTTAGCAGTCACTGATTGAAGTTTAAATGAATCGTTTGCTGAGAAAGTAAAAGAGGCAAAGGCTCGTTTGCATAAACTGTGGAATAAATGAAGAAAAATGCTGAATGTATAAGCAGAAAAACCATGCATATGTCTTGAATATTTAATAATTTGAAGCATTAAGCCCATGCTGAGAGATCGCAAGAGGATAAGTTTCTTTATTAAGATGGCAAGAAAGTTCAGTTTCAAAAACCACCTGATTGGTACACAAACACACTTCAACCACATAACACTGAGAAAAACCTCCAAAATAAAAGGATTACAAGTAAATGAAACTTCACTAGACTTGTCTTTCTTGAAAGCTTGTATAAGCCTAGTTTGTCCGTTTTTATTTCAAATGACTGATTCGATCTACCGTCCATTTGCGAATAAAAATATAAGAGACACCCTTTCTTATCTATAGCATTCTCAAGTTGTCTTTACTTTGGTTATATTTTTTTTCAGAAACCTATACAAAAATGTATTAAAATATGAAAAACAAGTGAACCGAAAAAAGCTTCTATGAGGCATGTTTATGGCATGTGATTCATAATGAAATGACTTCATAACTCCAAAGATAAATTTTGTCTTTTTTTAAGTATTGGAAACTGATACAGGTTGAGCTCCAAATAGCTTTTACTTTTACAGTATATTTTCAAATTATTATTCTTGAACTAGTGAAAAACTTCATATATATGGAAAATATTTCATGAGTCCTCTAACTGTTTAAAGCACCTGTTATTTTTCAGTTATGTTTTAAAGTAAACTAAGTGCCCAAATTGACCAAAAAGCCACGGTTAAATTCTTCTTGAAAGATGTTTTGCATTTATGATCCAATTAAGTCACACTTAGTTTAACAGACATTTAATAGACATCACAAGTGATCAGATTTCCAATGTTATTTTAAGATGACACTCCTTTTGTACGTGTCAAGTGCAGTTTTGTTAATCCAAGTGGAATATTACCAAATAAACCTGTACAGTTGTTTTTTTTTATCAGTAATAAACTCAAATATCACATTTATTTCTGTCTAACAATATTCTTAGAAATCGGAATGTATCCGAAGCAAAACTTCAGTTAGTAGGCTAGTGCTAATTTTATTAGAGAACTTTATGATGATTTCTGCAAGATTTAACTTGCTATTTATTTAAGGCTTTATTCATAGTTTAAGCCTAAGTTAAAAAACGTAAAAAATAATCACTTTCTCTGATAGCTACATTTATGCATAGGTGGAGAGTAAGACCACTATATTTCTGCAGCATGCAATATAGACTTGTAAGTGTATTATACATCCATACGTACATGATGTAGCATACTAGAAATCAATGAGAATTAAGCTGTCTTTAACACATGTTTTGTGCTTGTTAGCCTTCGATCGGTCGACAGACTTTGACCATTGCCAAGAAAAAAGGCTAGATAGCTACACCAGTCAACCACTGATGACAACTTATGGTATATATGAACATCACTGCATGGTTTTAAAATCACTGAATAGGTTTTATCCAAGGAATCTATCACATCAGTATCTGAGGAAATATTCCTAACAAGTTACCGGTTTTCCTGCAAATGTAAGACGTTAGAACTAAGCTGGACTTGATTATCTTCCGATTGGAAGAAAAGAACGAACACAAATTAGTGAACTGTAAACTGCACTAGATCATTTGCTATTTAATATATACCTCAAGAATTCACTTATGAAAGACACATTAGTAAATAAACCTTGAGAACAAACGTCCTATAAGTTACAGTTATTATCACAATATCTTATGATCAAAACCACCAAAATGAAATGTTAGGCATCCATCCATTTATAAATTACTGAATTGTTTATGAGTTTACATCAGTGATAATACAATTCATAACAAGTACTGAATTAGTATTCATCACAAAGTGACATCAGCTGGAGAACCACTGAAAATCTGGAGCACTAAACAGCTGTATCGTCCGAATGTGGGACCCCTCAGTAGTGCGTGCCTATAACTCTGCCACGTGATCAATGATAAAATGTTCATCTATAAACCTGAAGGTCCTTACATTGATCCTTAGCGGGGGACATGCGTGTACACTGTTAGAGAGTCACATAAAAGAATGAAATGGCTACAAAATTCTCCCAGATTTATAACAGTTCTGCACTGGATATCGGTCTGTGATGAATACAAGCTTGAAACCAATAAATGTTCACAAATCTCTAAGGTGAATTAGTGCACAAATATTAATAACAATCTGTCGACTGACGCAGAAAGGTTAATATCCAACCGGATTGTTATAACACATGTCCAGGTCACTCACACAACTACATTAAAATTGTTTTTACACAATATTGGCTAGGTATAAGAAATTTAGATATTTGGTGGAATGTTTAAACACTAAGCTAACTACTTATTTTAACTGATAACGAGAATTTTCTTTTAACGTTTCTTTTTGGTCTCAGTATTTCGATGGAGCAATCATAGTGGCATCCCTTGCATCCGATGTTTTGTATGTTCGTTATGTATCCGAGACTGCAGCTGCAATGGTTGTCCTGTTGTTATGGAGAATAATACGAATAATCAATGGTATGTCAATAAATTTCCTTATGAAATAAACAAATAAATTTACACTTTTCTTTTGTTTGATAGAAATATCTGATAATGAAAAAAACATTAAGAGGCTGTTTTATATTTTTTTTATCTCGTTCACATTAGTACTCAGATTTTGCTTCCGGCATAGATTTGTTTCTCCATCAATTGCTTAAGTTTTTGACTCAGGGAAGAAAACACACTGTTTTGCATATTTATTATACCAGATCAACGTAAAAAGAAAAAACCCTACTCTTATCTTTTTACAAAAATGACAGTAGTAGGAGAGTTTAGACCGCTGGACTAGAATCCACTGGTTGCATGTGAACGTACTCACCATAAAACCTGACATTCTATACTCATGAAGTTCTGGATGTGTACTGTCTAATGCCACCAGATTTTTAATAGTTCTTCAACTGATATCATTCAGAAATGAACACAACGCTGAAATCTTTTTCTAGCCCTTTGGTTTTTTCATTAATTGTTAAATCTATGAACATAAACGTGAAAAGATTTAAAATTGGATTGATGAAGATTTTTCCTCTTCAGTGCGTCCATTTGTAATTCAAATAACCATTGGCAAACCAAGTGAATAAAATACATTTTATAGTAAAATTGGAATACCCGAAATGGAAGTTATGTGAATTAATAAATGCTGACCAATGCTACAAAATTAATGGACAACATGTACATAGAGATTGCAAATATCATTTCAACAGATTAAAATCAGGCTTTATTTCGAACATTTGAAAACTATTCAGAAATCATCAATTCACTTATGTTTTTTAAAATTAACAATTTTCAGTCTAAAATATACACTGTTAATCCAAAACAAGTTCACTTCCCTTTTCATTATGAAACTACTAACATAAAATGATATTTAACAGAAGATGAAATTGTTGAACATGAACTAACCATAGAAACATATGTAATTGAATAGCACTGTGTAATAAGGGGAAAATAGAATTATATCATGAATTCGATTATAAGTAGAAGTCAATGTTGAGTTTCTGAGAGTAACTAAGCAGCAACAACTTCTGAAATCCCTATGCATAACTGTCACTCAGAAATGAGATAGATCTTTACATTATTTTATAACTTAGTTATGCATGTATATTTTGTTTTCAGTTCTTCCTTAGTTAAAAAATTTTAGTCAGTGTAAAATTCTTTGTCTACAACAGGAGTACCCGTCGAATTCACACACATGAAAGCAGAATAACTTCATTTCGAAAGATTGCTGCATACATCTTCGAAGATGACATAAATATTCCAAGACAGTATTTATTATGGACTGAAATTTTTGTAAACACCGTTAAAATTGTTCTCATGTATTCAATCGTTTTTAAATGAAACCAATCCACGTTAAATGATACCTTAAAGTCAATCAGTCTTAACAAACCTCCGAAATCAACAACAGTATCTTATGCGAGTTGATTATGGTTGACAGTAAAAGCTGCTTCTTACAAATTCTCTTGCTATTTGTTTACCAGATATAATTGTTTAGCATTTTGAAAATCTTGTTTTGGTTACTCAATTCAAAGTACTTACAAAAAAAGATACAAACATCACCCCTTTCCACTTCTTGAGAATTGGTACATCAGCCATTTTACTGCACATGATGTTCACAACACAGTGCTGAGCTTGTTTAAAAAATCCATCATCCAGCTAAAGTTCGTTTGTCAAATATGCTGGATTAAACGCCGCGAGGTATTGAAGATAATATGATCTTTATCAGCATAACAAAGCTTTGTACTTATCGGGAATAGTATCAGTGACTTTTAATGAATCCACCTCTTATGTATTACCCCAATTTCTACTGGGATTTTTTTGGTTTGTCGTATCTGTTTGTCCAGATTAAATCTGCTTGTGATAAGGAAAGAATACAAATTAGATTGTTATAAACCTTTTCATCTATCAGAACAAACATCCTTGGATAAGAATCTCAACACTCTTAAGATACACGTGCATCTACGATTGCATGACTAGTCTTACAGCTCTAAACTTGAGAAACTGAAAACGTTTCATGTATTATGGTAAAGTATTACAGTAAGTAGTGAATTTTCATGCAGATTCTTATACAAAATATATATTAATGGAAAATTAGTGTTGAAGAACTAAATTTCCCAAGAAATGTTTGTTTACCTGCATTCTCCTAGAGCCTACCAGTTAGATTCTCGTAGGGAATTTTAAGAAGCCTAACAGTATACTGACAATGCGCTTTACTCACCGGACCTATTCATCTTTTTATTTCAACAGTTTCAAAAGTATGTATACGCTTTCTGATAGTAGAATGGTTCCGATTTCCAAACAACGTTCTGTTTTCAGTTTACTCAGACAGGGATTTCAAAGCAGTACCACACTGATTTTGAAAAAAGATCTTTTGAGATATATTTGAATTTTTCACAATTCATCAATAATTTGGTTCCTGTGCCAAATTTAAACAATGCAAGAAGAATGACACTTGCAGAAAATGAGCTCATTTTATTTGACAGCCTTTCATCAGCTGTAAATAGCCCAGAACTGAAGTGAAGTGGTAGTAGTAGTAATGGCATAACATACGTTAAATATGCAGAAATAAATGAAGATTTGAAATCCAGGAATAACAACAAAGTAGTGGGTCAAGGAAACACAGAATTATTGATTGCAAATTTCAGTCAGAACCACTAAAAATCTGACAAGATGGGGATTTCTGGAGCTGTGGAAATGGGGGAAAATAAGGAAGCAGGAGTGTAGAGGAAGGCGTTGTTAGAGAGCTAGTACACTGCGTAATTATGCAAACAGTTGGAAAATCGTTTGGTGACTAACACTCCGTAAGCCGTGAGTGAAGAGATATTACAATAAACAAAGAAGACCGTGTACATACACATGCCGAAAATTACATACAGTTTCCATGATAAAAAAGTTAATTACAGTCTCTTTCTAAGTATATAGGTCAGGTTGAAAATGTTTTATGACTACAGCTTTCGCAAAAAATCATAAATATGGAGCTTTTTTTGTTAATTATCCTAAAGGATGGAGAAACATCTCTTCGATATCGCGTTTCTATCAGGTACTGGGCAACTGCATAAGTAATAACCTTACTACCTTCCATGCGCAGATTTTTTGGAATATACTGAAAAACTCGAGCAGACGGCCTTCTTTCGATCCATTCTATCTACTTGCTTCCGCAAGCACATGTGAACTGATGTGCACAGTTAAAGGTGACGTGAGCTATATATCTGCCTACTTTTGACTGTATTATTGGGCACACTATATTGTAAACTGAAATACTTCTGGCAGCAGGGAAGCTCCTTCTTGGTGCAGCTTTCATTCTTCTGTCTGTTCTTTCAAATTTCTCATCACCTTTAAATGCTTAACGAAAGATACCAGGCATCTTCTCAACAATCCATTGTTTTGGGCTCTAAAGAAAGTCCTTTCCATGCTTTATACTGCATCTTCACGGATATTCTTTCTCGATAAGAACCTTCACAGTGATACTGAATTCTTCGTCTTGTTTAAGTTTCTAGCAAAGTGTTGTTATTCTAATGAAGAGCGACCTAACTAAACCAAGCTTATATCTCACAGAACAAAAACCATTGGGGAGAAGATGCTAACCAATCTACGTGTCTTTCCTGTGGATATTTTTCACACATTTACCACCGCATCTCCGTCGAATATTTAGATCCCAAAAGTTAAATTTGTCCTCATATTTGAATCCCACTTTAAAATTCATATTTGGTTCAGCTTGTTTAAAGGTATCTAAAAACTCTGACACATGATCCATATTATTATGGACAATTAAAGTATAATTGGTATACCTGCACTAATGTCTTTCCTTGATCTAAGGGTTTAGGTATGTTCGTTCGCGGTGAGCCATGAATATATCTACTGAGATAGGTCCTAATGGTGAACTTACACCCACTGTGTCAGTTCGCCAACAGAGTTTGTCATTAAACTGCGACTAAACACCCTTGTACAGAGCAGCGGTTGTTGTTTGAGTTCCGTTTTCGGCAATGAGAGTAGATCAGACTGTTGGTAGATTATCTCTATCGTTTCATCCAATGAAATATTCGTAAATTATAGGGAAACATCAAGTGATACCAAGAATTTACTTGAGATATCCAATCTATGCAGTTCTATAGAGAACTGTAATGTACCCTTTAAACTGTAGTTTGTGAACCTTTGTTTGACGGGTTGGAATTTATTTGCTAAGCAATGAGCAAATTCGCTACAAAGTGGATTTATCATGCGCAAAACGAATGTCGAATGAACCATGAACTGATGAGTTTTCAGACGGCCGTATATGAAAGGCAGTCATAAATCTCTTGATTTAAATTCATCAGAGGTTGCACCATCGATTAATCATGAATTTAGGTACTATACTAGCTCTCTGACAACGCCTTCCTCTACACTCCTGCTTCCTTATTTTCCCCCATTCCCACAGCTCCAGAAATCCCCATCTTGTCAGATTTTTAGTGGTTCTGACTGAAATTTGCAATCAATAATTCTGTGTTTCCTTGACCCACTACTTTGTTGTTATTCCTGGATTTCAAATCTTCATTTATTTCTGCATATTTAACGTATGTTATGCCATTACTACTACTACCACTTCACTTCAGTTCTGGGCTGTTTAAAGCTCATTTTCTGCAAGTGTCATTCTTTTTGCAACGTACGAATTTCCCTATATGTCCACTGAATCAAAACAGAGCATGTCAGCTGCTGGCGTACTTTGATAGAATTAAATGTTGACCACCCATATGTTCTAAATTTCACATCTAATGCTAGATAATTAGTCTAGGAAGTAGTCTTTATGTTCTGAAACCGTCCAATAAATTATATTGATGGATAAATGACCAACTTCAAGGATATCTAAGGCGAATGGAGCCTAAATTATTTGAGCTATATGAGCGATAAAATACTGAAGGTATAACACTACATGTAATAATTTCAGGTTGCAAGGTCGACACCGACAGTTATTCAGGATGACTTGGAAAATTTCAAGCTGCATGTTATTTTGAAGTATAGCTCAATACACCCGTCTAACGTGCAAGAAATGAATAAAACATAACTCCACTGACTCCACAAAATGATATGTCCGAGGAAGATGCGATAAGAACAGTGATCAGATGTGCATATTCAAATGTCAGTCTGTGATTAGAAAGTTTAGTACACTTGTGCACAACCCATGTTCATTATCATCTTCAGCCACTTGAGATCACATCATCATTTATGCAGAAAAACTTTGATCAAGTTTGTATATATAAGCCTGGATTATGTAAATCCCAATTTAACACTATTTTGATGAAGCTACTAACTTTGAATAACGTGATGTTAAAAAACAGAGTTGTTTCATCTTGCATTCATGGATAAAAAAACACAAGAATGACAATGTTCGGGCATTTCAAACTGCATAGACTGAGTTACACTACATACTTCACCACCCATCTGGTGACTCAATATGATGTTTTTTTCTAGGACATTTGGTGTCTCAAAGAAACTATGTATAAAACATGAGCGAAGAATTCGCTTTCAGTTAATATGTTTCTTACTAAAGGTTATCTGGCTTGATTTCTGACTGTTAGAAAAATTTATTTTACCGAAATTTCGAAACAAATTTGTCGAAATGTAACCATTAGTTTTAGCTCCCATCTAACGCTTCATCACTTAATCAGCTGATAGAATTTAAAATGTTCCCCCCAACGTTTTTCGACGAGATAATTTCTTTATGTAAAACTTTGTACCAGACATAATTTTGTAAAAAAACAATAGATAATGTGAACAACATGAAATACGGATAAACTGTTTCTCAATGTTTCACATTTGAATTTATGCGTGATTCAACGAATAAATTATTTGATGTAATTCTATACTATTTGGACATGTTTTTCTGAGGAACTTTATGGTAGTTAGTCTAGATAAGGAATGTTCAAATTTAGTGAAATTTTTATTGAAGCTTGGAAATATAAATGTGAGAAAATGAATTCATTTGCACTATTAGGTCACTTAGGTGATTTCATGCAAATTATTAAATTTTTTTCTATAACATTTTGTCTATCTTGCACCACATTTGTTTAAATGTTTGTCCTGACATTTAGTTGTCACAGAATAAGAATAAATAAAATGAACCTAAGCCAGTCACCGTGTGAAAGTATGAATATTTTTATCAAAATTTAACTGTCAACTAATTGTTAGCTAGCTGGTTTATCCTAACAAACACCGATAGAAAGCTTGTAAACTGCTGTCCAAAAAATCATTGTGAATCATTTGACACATAAGACAAAAGTAAAGTGATTCGGTTTAATATCTGAATAAACAGATATATTTATGAACAGTTACTTGATCTGCATATAAGCTAGGATAGTAGAAGCGAGAACTAATTTTTTCGAACACAGCTTGTTCATCACTGGCATGAAATTGTACCCCTCATTATCAATGAAATATAAGCAATCATTTAATTCAGTATTTCAATGTTTATCTGTTCGCCAGTACCTAGGTTTTATAATAGCAATTCATGCAGAAAATATGCTCTAAATGTTTTTCCTAGGGTCTAAACAACAAGAAAAGCTACCTCAACGTTAACATGCACTTAATTAACATAATACTGATATCATACAGCACTCCTAGCACATGGGAGCATGTAATTCACGCTTCTCGTGGTCCAACAATCCTTTAAACGAGGGAAACCGAACTCTATGAATCAAAACCCAGGAGGTCGTTTTCGTGTACAAAGATCTAAGTACAATTCTTGAAACAGGGAAATGGAATTGAAACCTTCTTCGGCATGTTTAAACTGAGAATGTCTGCGATGTAAAAAGAATTTAGGTAAATATATCAAAGTTAGTAGTCCATCAAACTGGCCTATTTGTTAACTGAAAGCAGTCTTAACCAGTGAGCGTGCTTGTAAGCCGATAGCCTAGTTCTAATTTGCTGGACTTCGCATGCAGAAAATCATTTTCCCCTTTAACTTCAGCCGTTTTAAGAGTATTCAAACCACTTCCAATGAGCTTGGAACCATTTGTCATTTAAGGCTCAAGTAACGAGGCCAGACAACTTAAGAGTAAAATAGAAGATCTAAGACAAGAGATCAGGATACCTTACTCATCAGCAGCTACCCTCCCAAATTATTTGATAAGCCACTTTCAAATCGTAATAAAAATATGACTGATATTAGTAACACAGATGTTGATAGTAGTAGTTAATGTTAACCATAATAGTGGCAGTGCCATGGGGGAAGAATTCAAAACCTCTAGGTAGATCTTAGTGAGGTTAGGAATTTTTAAAAACGCTTGAACATAGCTATGCATGCAGTTACAGATAACCATATAATAGTTAAGGACTGGGTAAAAATCCTTAAAACTAACACAGCAGGGTTGAGGGAGAGATTGGTAGCTGAAACTTTGTTCATCAAATACATACAACTGTATACATTACAGCTGGTTATGCACCCGTTCCGAATATATATTGAAAATTCTACAATTCATTACGCGAAGAAAGTTTTGTGGTTATCTTTATATGACTAAAGATAATAAATTCTGCCCAAAACGTAGTCCAGTAAAGAATAAGCTTTCACTTTGATACATATAATAAATCAACTAAATGTCTGGGCTATTACCTGACCAAAGCTTTCTTCTTAGATATTGAAAATGTAAACTAGGACACTTTGCATCCCGTATGAAATTGATTTTTGAATGTACTCCTTTTCTTAAAGTTGAAATATTTAATTGAGTCGGGTCATCAGTAGGTAAAAAAGTCCATGCTACTCTAGCTCTTTTTGCAAGATGTTTTATAGTAAACAGAATTCCGAATACCTAAGCTCTCATGCATGCTAAGTAGAATTTCTATTTTCATTAGTAGAATGCGTCATTCGTATACAAAAGTATGTTGGCCAGAGGTAGATATGCTACAGAAGTTCAGTAACTATTCGTTTATTTGCATATTGTAATCCAACGTGGTAATATCGATTTAAGCAACTTTCCATGAAATATTAATTACTTCATCATGTGTCTGTTTACGATCTGACCGAAACCTTTCTATTTACAAAGCTTTCCAATTGCATTTCATAAACCTGATACAACATGTTTTTCACTTTTAGCACTAATGATGCACAAAAAGCAACAATATGAATTCAGAATAGCAATGCAGAAGCGATCTAGAAGGGTGATGGGTAGAAAAATGGAAGTTATTCGCACAGAGAAAGAAATGCAGGATGTAAGCTGTGATTAATTTTTCTAACATTTTATATCATTATATTACTGGTACTTGTGCAACTTGTGACTGCTGGAAGATATCACAATGTAATGATGTATCTCTAACTTATCCTGTTGTACATTTAGAAGTACTTTAGTGTTACAACATGCAAAAGTGTACAATTGTTTGTGTACATAATTTTTTAGCACTTGAAATTGAGTTTTGAACTGGAATGCATTTTGACAGAGTTTTCAGCACAACTTCCGTAAAATGATTCTCAACTCTTATTGACAAAATATTTTGCTACTTTTATAGCTGCATATAAGTGGCTTCATTTATTTTATATACAAAATACTTTGGTCCGTGAGTTAAGGTCAGATCAGCAGATACTGAAAAGAATACTAGATAAATTTGTCACAGTACTATGGCTCTTTATCCTAATTCATCTCACTTTCATCGTAACGTTGGTTGGACAATGGAAACGGAGTGATGTTTCACCCTTCTAAGGTGGTCACGTTTGCATGTCAAACTGAGCGATAAATTTTAAGTTAACTGAAACGAAAAATACTATGTTGTTCAGTCGCATACTGTTGTTTCGCATTACTTGACTCAAAGTAGCTACATGATGGGTTATTTTCTATCGAAGGGTTATTTCATCGCTGAACAAGATTGTTAAACTTCCTCACTTTATAATTGTCGCAGCAAAAATTGATAGCTGTGCTTAACGTGTAGCCATTATGATGTGACCAACTGGCTTACTTCTATTTGCCTAAATTCAATCCTGATAAAGAAACAAACTAACTTGACACCATATCTGCTTGATGTAACTTTTTCAGCTCATCTTTAAATCATTCAATGATTGAAATGCCAATTTATACCCCCATTACTTGTTAATCACATGTTTGTGTACGCAGTGATCAATATACAAGAAGCTCTATAACTTTCAGCTTCAAGTTCACTTGTCTTAAAACATATATCAAACAAACATCTCTACTAATAACCTTGAACTTGTAAATAAGAAAGGTAAATATAACCTTCCGTGTTTTATTTGAATCAAAGTCAGAGTTATTGTAACACACTGAATATTTTAAATAATTCATACATCTAATAAACATGTACTGAAAACATTATAGTTATAGGAATTTCAGTGGAACATTTTATTACTATGCTAAGTTTGAAGCAGTCCATTGCAGAATATCGTGTACTGCATACACATCACACCAAAATAACTTGTTTACACTTCAAGACATCACAGAACTTTGTATTAAAACTGCCATTCTGAGTAATTAATAAATCAAAAGGTAATGGTTTTCAGTTATTCTCAGATTGTCAGTAGACTTCTGACTTGGAAAATAAGGACTAAATCTAGTTTTGATGTTGTAACCAGCTTTTGGCTAAAACTGAGCTAACCTGGTTGACATCACCAAAGCATACTAACTAGATTTTTTACTTACCTTTAGTGGTTTCGTCATGTTCATTTACTATTACCAGGAGTTATGCGAAAAAATGAATATTGAATATGAGATCATTTTGCTTCATCAAGCAACGAATGCACAACCAGCAGTAACCAACTATAAATATCGTTATCTTGAAGCAATTAACATTTAGTCCAGTAAGTTTCCAAATATATTTATCTGATAAAAAACTCCTGCATAAAGATTTGGAACTTCGTAAAGTAGTAAAGATAGTAGCAGTTGGTGAAATGGACGGGAATCGTTCATTCATCTTGGTGACTCGCAGCGGCATTCATGACACCCATTTCATCCGATTTTGGACTCGTCAGCTGGATGTACCCAAACCTCAGTGAGTGATGTTGTTCCCTTTGAGACTCGAAATCAGTACCCATCGCTTCAAATGCAAAAACGTTATCCACCAGATCACTGAGGCAAGAAAATTATCACTTGTGCTAGGGTTATCAGTTATTTTTTTATACTTGTAATTTCCTGCTGCTATACAGGGTTGAATTGCTCAGCATCTGTTGGCAGATGAGCTGTCATGCTAAAGCCTTGATACTGCTGGTTATTCATGATGTTTTATTTATCAGATGTTGCAAGTATGAAAGAATGACGGATTGAAATCTCTCACCAAACATCCCTTTACTTGAGATTACGGATACAGCTTACTGGTTAGTTAGGAAAACTATGAAACGTGAGCTTAAGACGTCCTACCTAGTGTCTAAAATTAATCTGAAGAATCTTAGTCGAAAGACTTCTGATTTTTTAAGTGCTTTCAACTACGACTCTTCAACGTTTCATTAGCTAGATGTAATTTTGAATGAACTGCTCCATTTGACTCATTTCTACTTAAATGATCATCGAAACTGGTGACAACTAAATGTAAGATTAATTCATTTATCAATAATCAAGAAAAATAATATTGAAACCTAAGGATAACAAACATTATCATAAAATGGATGTCGTATTGCAAGTTGTAATTCTAGAAGTTTGCTGCGTTTATCCCCAGTTTACAACTGGTCTATATGTCGTTTTTATAATGCAAATAATTGCTGGAATAATTCTTCACTGAACAATGAATAGAAATCAGTACACATTTCTGTAGTGTGTTTTGTACTGACTTTTAGTATGCAGTGTAACTTTCGGTATGACCTTATCAAATGTCCCTATTATCTGCACTTCAATAGCAAATAAAAACAGACTATTTTTTCCTCAATGTGAATGAAGCCGTACATTTTCACACTAGTGTGCTAGTAGATTTCAGCTTGGCAATTAGAGACAGCTTAGATGGAATAAAGTGAAAGTCTTATCTATTCCTAGTGAAATTAGACTAATTATTTAAAACAAGCAACAAGTGTGGAAAAAGCAGGATTTAATGAATCCATAAATTTCAGTAGTACTCGTCAGCTAGATACTCTACATACCTGATTATGTATACCGTTAAGCAATGGAAAAGAGCGTGCATACATACAAACTTACATAAAGTAGACTGAGACAGATTTAGGTGTAACAACATAGAAGTGAATAGTTTTTACAGGTCAAATGGTAATCCAGAGGATAGAAATGGATATTCAAAATTGTTGACATAGGGATGAGAACTGAATCGATTGAGCGTCGATCACGTCATTGAAAACAAGACAGTTAATAGTACTTATGCAGACAATAAGAAAACAAGGTGTATATTGAGATGAATAATAATGATAGCATTGGCAATAGGAATAAGGTTAATTAGACGGAGTAAATCAGGGAAGGAAAACAAATATGAGATGAGTGATAATTAATAGTGAAGAGTAAAATAAGAAAGATTAAATATGATTAGACAACGATGTAATTGTTACCATGGCAGATTCAGGCTGACTGCCATTCCCTTCTGAATGCAAAGGTTTGGTTTGACAACTCGAATCGTGCAGGCTTCTACATATCCAAGCAACTTCTTATTTTGCTGTCTAGTGATAACCTTAAAGGACTTATAGGTATCAATTTCATGTCCATAGTCCATTAGGTGCTTCGTTATCGAGCTCCTCAGGGTCTTTTTTCGGTATGCTTCAACCATTTCGGTATGTGCTCAACCATTCGGGTGGACAGACGCCCCTCTGTATAACCAGTGTATTTGCTTCCGCAGATACATTCGAATTAATATATGCATTTAGATGTGTCGAGGATCGGAGTACTGTCTTTCCCTGATTGCTGCAATACCCTTTTGGTGGTGCTGAGAAGAACCAGTTTAGCCGCGTAGTAAGTACTTCTGACAGACTTCTCCAGTCTTCGTCTAACTACTTCTAGCACGTCGTCACCTTTGAATGGCAAGGTGACATAGGCCGGTTTCTTCTGCACTGTCGGGGCCGTTGTTCTGCTCGCTACTCACTTTGCGTGCTTGTTGAAAAAGCTTTCTGGGTACCCATTCTTCACCAGCACGCTTTTCAAAGTCCCTATTTCGTAGTCTGGTGTGCTGTCGAAACAAATTTTTCATGGCTGTGTTATACAACGTTCTAACTAAATTCACTTTGTATTGGATCGAAACAAAGCTCCTAAAATGAAGGTATTGTCCTTTTCAAGAAGGTCTCCTATAGATGGACCTTTATATAGATCCATCGATTCTTTTCACTAATGAGAAATCTAAGAAACTAATCGTATTATTTTCCTCGTGCTCAATCGTAAAAGACAGGTTTGGGTGACATGAATTGAAGCCCTTCAGTAGTGCTTCTGCCTCCGCTTTACTATTGCATACAATAAATATGTCATCCATGTAGCGCTGGTACAGTTCCGTCTGACCAATGAAGCACTTCAAGCTACTATTTTTCAGACTGGATAGAAATAAATTAGCGAAAAGGGGGCCCAGAGGAATTCCCATTGCGACTCCATCGGTTTGGCGGAATAACTGTCCGTTGGACTGGAACTGGAAGTTCTTGGTGCATAGATTTAGAAGCTTTCTCAACTTATTTGTTGGGATAGGGATATTACCAGCTTCCCGACAGATAAACTCAATGGTTTCATCAACTGGTACACTTGTGAAGAGAGATACAACATCAAATGAAACAAGATGCTTACCAGTGCTGCTGAAATCTGCGATGTTTCGAACAAATTGGAAGGTATCAGAAACAGTGTGTTCTCCCAGACGTTTGCTCAATGGTTCGAGAACTCCGCATAACCACTGGGCTACTTTGTGACATGGTGAATTTATCATTGATAATATCGGCCTTAAAGGCATACCTGGCTTATGTATTTTTGCTCGCCCATATAACTTTGGGATTTGTGATCCAATTGATTTAATTATTATCTGATTAATAATCACTGCTATCATTTCTCTTCAGTATGTGATTAGCATATAACTTTTTGATGCAGTGAGTGAAGATCATATTATACCGAAAATTCACACATGTTCACATGCTCTTAGTGAAAACAAATCTGTAAAACCAATACCAGTTTGAGATCATTTATCTGGCTCATGTACTCGTCCCAGTTCAATGAAAATTCGATAAATAATTACCGTCAGATGTTCAGAAGAAAACTAACACACAAATATACTGACTAATAAAAAAAATGAAGTTGAAATAAACCCATTATTTA